TTGTTGTTATATATAGTTTTAACTTCTTTAATTTTTATTTATTGATTTTTAGGCAATTATTATCTTTATTTCATTTTTGAGATTTTAACTTTTTGAAAGTTTATTGATTTTATATTGTAACTTATTTTAGGTAATTTATTTGATAGATTTATACATTTTAACCTTTTATTGATTTTATATTCTAGCTGAATTTTTTTTAACGATTGATTTTATAGTGTTTAACTTTTTACTTATTTATTTAATTATGGATTTCACACTGCTTTAACTGATTGTTTCAATCATACTCGTAGTGGGCACAGTCTTGAACGAAAAAATAATATTGCAATGAACGAAATACCAATGAAAAAGATCGAAGTTGAACAAAAGGCATGGGTTCTGAGAACTGGAGGACCTGTTCAAGAGGCGGTTGTTGCCTCTGTGGCTACTGCAGGAGGCGGAGAAAATACATTTGTTAAAGTAGAATGGCCCGACACAGAAGGTGTGGTATTGGGAAATACGGCGTCGATAGATGATGTCTTTCCCAGATTGCCAAATGCTCAGCTGAATGGCGCAGAGGTACATTGTGATCGGCAAGATGAAGCTCTATGCCCTGATGATAAAGTTTATCCAATATGCGAGCTTTCTTTGATGGGCGAACGAGGTCTCGAAACCCATATTGCAAAAAAACATCCCAGGGAGGTGAACAACAATACATTGAGGGGCATAGTGAAGAATGTGATAGGTCCTAGAAATGGAGAAGGTGATACATCAAAAATAAAAGAGGACATTGTTGGATGGTCTATTACGTTCAATACTGCGGAATTTGATGAGGCCTTAGGCAAGTTCTTAAAGTTCCTCAAAGTTATCAATGCGGAACTGCCAAGTCAAGAGCACACAGCCGTCACATTTTATAGGATGAGGACAAAAAAAAATGAAAATGGCTTACAAGGGTGCTGGACAAGTTTCAAATCCGCAGAGAGCAAACAAAGTAGACAGGGGTCGTCGGCAGGAGCAATATCAGTATGAGGCTGCTCAATATAATTATTACAACAAAAGAAAAAAGGTTGAGCAAACTGTAATGAATGCCGACGCTCCTAAACGGTGTCCTCTAAAAATGGCCGAAATCGAGAGGCATTATAAAGACCTCTTTGAAAGCGAAAATCTCTGCGTGCGTGTGGATTACGAACAGTGTGCTTCGATGCCAAATTTGCTTTCCATTGAGCCAGAATCTGTCAGAAAAGCCATTAAGTCAACAACAATGGACACATCGCCGAGATTTGATGGAGTTCTGATCCGACAATCAAATATTTTGACGTATCAAATATTATCAAAACAGCAGAGATAATGCTGAAGGTGGCCTATGTCCCAGAACCACTCAACGCGAGGATTATCGACGCAATATTAAAAGATGCACAGAAAATGAAAAATGTTTGTGCGATAGTTTTCCTCGACATTGTCGGTGATTTTGACAATGTAGGCCACAAACACAACGTAAGATCTTTAGAAGCGAGAGGCGTGTCGCCGAATCTTAAAAATGTCATATCAGCTCTCCATAGCATGAACACTAGAAAAATTAGTAATGGTGTCCACGCAACTAGCCAGATCAAAGAGCTGCGCTGTGTATTCCAAGGTGGCCCCTCGTCGTCTTCACTCTTCAACCTGGCCATCGACCATCTCTACCGCGGCCTGTGCGATTAGGACTTTTCCAAGAAATTTGGATATAAACTAAGAAATGACAAAGATTGTGTGGTCCTCACAGGTTTCGCGGATGTCCAGGCTGTGTTTGGCGTGAGACAAGGTGAATGTAGAAAGAGTGATTGACAGCGTAGAGAGGACATTTCAAGAAATTGGTTTGGCTATAAATTCTCAAAAAAGCATGGCCATCGTTCTAAATAAAAGCAAGCTGGAAACTGCGGTCCTCTCCCTTGAGAATGGAGAGTACATCCAAACATTGAAGAATGGAGAGACGATTAAGTATTTAGGATGTACATTCTCGGTAGATCTACAATTCAACTAAGATTCGGTGACTAAATTGAATGATAATCTAAACTAGCTGGTATCCTCTAGCTTACTTAAACCTGGGCAGAAACTCAACATTGTCAATAATTACCTTCTCCAAACTGTGCTCCTCACAAAGCTGCGTCCTGCCATACTGGACGGCATCAACACTATGATTTGCAGGAACGTAAAGGCTACTATTGGACTCCCTGCGAATACTTTCACGGCGTTGTTCTATGCCTCCAGGAGATACAGAGGATTGGGATTAATCCGCTGCCAATGGGAGGCTCCTCCTCAACATTGGCCCATTGCTCAGCGGCTGTACAATGTACCAGATGCCCTTTTCCAATCTACCTTCGATTATTCGGCTGAAGTTGCTAAATTTTCCGAGAGGGGATTAGGGATTGATCAGGGTCATCGAAATGTGAGAGCTCTACGACAGTCGCTACGAGAAAATTCATTTCAGGAATGGGCCAACTACAGATGGTATTGGTGGTCGCCATTTTAAAAAGTCCCCGAAACCGAATAGATACATCCACGAAAATCAAGTAATTTCTGGATTTTAATGGTAGAATACCCTAAAACTAAACATTGATTATGCACTCCCGCGTGGAGTCCCAGGTGTCAGCGGACAGATCAGGAAGTTGGGTCTCTCTGCCGTGAATGCGGAAGACATTCTGAATCACCAATTCAAGTTCGAGTTGATGAGGCTCTTTAGGGAAAGGAAATTCACCTGCTTTGACGAGGTATATTGCATCGAAAGTGAAGGTTCTACGAGATACGTGGATATTGTCGCATTTCCCAAAACAGGAAGGACAGCGCTGATCTTGGATCCAATTGTCCGCTTTAAGGGAGCTAAACCTTAAACCTCACACCTAATATGCAATAAGTTATTAAGACCATTTAAGTGACACAAACCTTATTTATTATATCGGTGGTAGACAATAAAAACCTTAATTCCATACAATAAAATCCATACAATAAAACCTTAATTCCTTACAATAAAAACCGTAATTCCATCTTTTATTTGGAAAGCACATAACTTCAGTCTCTGAGCTATATATATTTTAGAGAGATTTTAAAGTACATCCGTATATTTAAACAATAAATCATTATAGATTGTTTGATTATTAGTTATTAAATTGTTTTTTCCATTGTAAATCTTACTTAAATGGAGTTACGAGATTTTTATTTTCTGCTATAGATAGATCAAAAGTTGTCACACTAATTGTATGTGGATTATTTTGTGATTTCACATAGGAAAATTTCTTCAAATTAGTCACTAATTAAATTTTCTAAAAGGTTCCATGATATTTTTTTTCGAAATAAACAGACTATAGATATCTAATATTTTAAATATAATATCTAGAGTTATTAAAATGCAGTAAATATATGTAAGCCAATAAACAGATGTTTTAAACATCCATGTAACATTTTTTTAGAACACTTCTTCTTTTATACAAATACAATCTGAAGTAGTTTTTTAAACAATGTTACCTTGATTCGATGAATTTTATATAATTTTTTATCAAACTTAAAATTTATTTTAAAAGTTTACATTTAGTTAGTCAGTTAGTTAAGTTCCATTTAATTTCCTTGAAAACATTATTTCCGTTAAGTAATATTAGTTACTATAAATTATTATTTATATTCTTTTCGTCATTCTCCATAAGTTTCTATGAGTTTCAATGTTAGATTTTGTTTTTTGTTTTTTTAAAATTCTCAGCTTTCCAATGATATATTATACCCATATCTTCTTTTTATTCTTTCCGGAAATTGATTTTCGACCTAAATAAACATTTTTCTTTTTCTTTTTTTATCCTTAAGTCATTTATCAATTTTTTTCATAGTTCATATGTGGCGTTTTTACTTTCACTTACCTATATTTAATATATAGTTAGGGTAAGTATTGCGATCGCCAAAATTTTCGAATTTGAGATTTCAATGGAAATACAAGTTTTGAGATAACTTGAGTCCAATTGACCAAGTCCCGAAAAATGGTCTGTGTGTCTGTGAGTCAGTGCATCTATGTTTATGTGAACAGCCTAGCTCAAAAACGAAAAGTCATACGAAACCTCAATTGGGTATTTAAGGTTTTTTATATAGTTCTGGTGTGGCAGCAACTTTTTCGTTAAAATCGGCTGACTGGAAGTGCCACTTTATATCAACGATGAAGCACATTTATAAAATTTTCTCAAAAACGGCTCCAACGATTTTGATTAAACACGGTTTATCATTGTATAGTTAAGTGGTCTTTAATTCCATTCATGTCTTATCCTCATTGATGTCACTTAACAGAGCTTAAATGTCCAATGTTCATATACGTCTTCTTCTAAAGTACCTTTAATATAGATTATTTAAAAAAAATAACTCTTTTTTATTGACAGAAACTATAAAAAATGAGAGCGCCCAAGCTCAACCGAATCCACTCCAAAGATTAGAACAGGCTTCCATAAGTAATATGAGTTTAATATAATACTGACTCCGACAATATTATGTACATATACAAATGCCGTTTTCATAAATGCTATCGTTGGTATCGTTTAATATTTCATTGTATAAATAAAAATAAAAATTTGTAAATATAAGGATAATTAAACAAATAAAAATGCCCACAACGAAATGTAAATAACTAAAGCGTCTATAATTTTTAGTATCACTTCCGCTATGTCTGAAAACACGTATTTCTGCTGAACGTAGGGCGTGTGATCAGAAGTTTTTTTTAATACGTCCATTTATCAAACCTTACTTTAACATGATTAACTACGTTTGACGTTCTTGGTTTCTGCATTAAATCTGTACCAAGTAGCACATGGAATCAAACTTATATGAAAAAATCTTGTATTAAAAACCAAGCTTTATTTTGTTTATCTATCTAGCTCTTGGATCGTTTTCGTTTACATTGCCTTATTATTCTTAATTTATTATAATTATACTATTTATCTATGACAGAGTCATAATTGGTTATAATAACTATAATATATTCGATCATTAATAATTATACATCTCGTTTTGACAGTTAAATGGATCCAGTTAAATTAGAAAATGCTTTGGAAAAAAAATGTGAGAACTACGCTTGGTTAATGTGGATTCTATTTCTTTCGGCCAGTCCAATTATTTTTAATACTGTACATTTAGCTTCATATACGTTCCTTGGGAGAAATCCTTCTTTCTTCTGCAATATTCCGGAGCTGGTTGAGGCAAACTGGACAAAGGAACAAATAAGAGAAATCAGCAATCCTGGATAAGTTATAAATTTATTTTTATTAATCCGATCTTGCATCTTCTTATCTCATCATTTTTACAATCTATAATCCATTAATGAAATGCATCATGTTGACTATGGTTAGATTAAAGAAACAAAGTTGTGTCCAATATGCCTGGAATTACTCCTTACTGAAAGATGTGGATTTCAATGAAGCTCTCAATTATTTTAATGTACAAAAAAAGCCAGATGTCGTAAAATGTAAAAGTTTTATTTTTGACGAAGAGGTTTTTCATCAGACAGTAATCAGTGAGGTGAGTAGTAAACTTATTAAAGAGTATTAAAAATAGATTTTTGTAATGATGAATATATACATATATATATTTTTTTAGTGGAATCTTGTTTGTGACGATAACTCTCTTAGTTTAACTGCTCAGGGGGCTGTAGCGATGGGAAAGTTTGGTGGAGCTGTCACCTTTGGCCTCCTTGGTGACAGGTTAGAGTTAACATTATGATATTAGATACTAGCTGATGTACCCGTCGTTGACGAGTGTATAGTTAAATTGAATTTAAATTTAATTAAATTGGACATTTTTATCAATCCGTAGAAAATATTTTAAAAGCGAATTTAAAAAATCCCTCACAATTTGTCTGCTGAAAAAAAAAAACAGAATTTAGTCTGCAGAAAATATTTTAAAACCAAATATAAAACACAAAATTTGGTTCAATGAAAAGCGGATTGAATCAGGGACTCAATTATAAAAAGTAATATTTAAAATGTATATAACTTGAGTCCAGTCCTTTAAGGAGAAGATTAGTTTTCGATGCTAATATTTTTGATAAGAATTACATTGGTTTAGAACCTTAAGTCGTAATTAATGCCCAGAAAAAAATAATTGTATAAAAAACGGATGAATTATTTGCAAATTAAACAAGATTGTTGAAGGTAGTGTAGGAAAAATATTATTTCAAATAAATTTAGTACTTTTCTGCTATTTTCAAAGGTTAGACTGAATAATGGTATTGGATTTCAGAAATCATTTCGGACTGATTGTGTGTGACTAGAGTTCTTGAAAGTCTGATTTAAGATATGTTATTGTACATTTACTGAACGACTGAAGAATATATATACATACATATATATTTATATGTATGTGTGTGTGTGTGTGTGTATGTGTGTGTATAATGTAAACTTATAAGGTATTATTAAAAAATTTCATTTACATTTAGATTTGGAAGAAAGAAGATATTTGTGTTCTCGTGCTTGCTGTATGCTACATCGAGTATAGCGGCGGCTTTTGTAAATAGCTCTGTAATGTTCATTATATTCAGAATATTGATAGGACTTGGTGGCGCTGGTGTTCTTGAAGCTGGTTATACAATCTGTAAGTAATGATTATGTAAAATGTATAATTAATTAATGAGAAGAAACGAAAAAGTATTGTACACCACATTTTAACTATACCACGGTAATAGTTATGTCACACTAATCATTCCTAATTCCTATTATTGCCACCACATCATCCTTTTTTTTTTTTTTTTTTTTTTTGTTCTTCCCTACCTCGCCTTTTAGGCTATACGGGACTTTCCCGGGGCGGGGGGTGAGGGCGGGGAATTTAAAATCCCCTGCGGCACCGGGACGCGAACTCGTACTTTTTAATATCATCTCAAATCTCTGTTATCCGGTTGCCAGGCAACTAGCGGTGCTGTTACACACGCTTTAGCCTATTCGGCCACCCCGCCCCCGTAAACCACATCATCCTATTGTTATGATTTGTTCGATGGTTATTTTTATTTTTTTTTTTTTTATCGGGTCGACATGAGCCTTAAGCTGCTTATGCCCTTCCCAACCGCCTTTTCCCAGTCATTACTGTCAACAGCGAGTCTGCTGGACACCCCGACCATCCTCAAGTCCTCAGCCACCGAGTCTTCTGTTCGGTCTTCCGTGCTGGCTGACTCCATCCAGGGTTCCATGGTATAATTACCTAGCTGCTCTACCATCATCAATCCTAATTACATGTCCCAGCCATTCAAAGCACTGAATTCGCACGAAATGGGAAGCTCGGAGATCGTCGTATAAATCGCAGATTTCATAGTTCCTTCATAAGCGGTGCAAACCATTTTCCCTAACACGCCCCATCATTCGCTTCAACACTTTTTTCTCAAACCTGTCAATCTTTTCAGTCAGTGTCTTGCGTAGGGACCAAATAGCACGGTCATAGGTCAACACGGGTTGTATGATTTTTTGAACGGAGTCATTTTGGTACCCCGACTTCAGTCGTCGAAAAAAACTTCTTAGGGCAAAATATGCTTTGTTACCCCCCAAAATACGAATTCGAGTTTCCTCCTCTTCCTTCATGTGACCATTTACTATGGAGCCATCATTTTTTAAATTGAACATGCACCGGAACGTATATTTTCCCAGTAAATAGTGCTTTGGCGGGTTCATATGTGTTTTCTTCCTGAGCACCATAATTTTAGGAAAATATTCAGGGAGCACGTGGTTTACAATAACCGGACGCGATCACAATCACTTTCTCTTCATGAGGTACTTTACTGAAGGATGGTAGCCAACTCTGCGGAAATCGCCACCCTGTTTTTTTTTGGATTATTATTATTAGTCCAATGCCCAACCCCCAAACTATGGTCAATGACACAAGGGTCTCTCACTTCCCTGTACTTCTCTGGATGGGGACGTTACCTTCCCTATAAAGGAATTGAACCAGCGCCGTAGTGGTCTAAGATAGGATTCTCCAAACTAAGGTCCACAAGGACTTCCAATCTGGCCTGGGAAAGTTTCTTTGATGACATTATAAAATTTTAAAATCTATTAGAAAAATGTGCAATCTAGCAAATTAATCGCCCAAAGGATTATTACAACATTTATTGCATGGTTATTTTCTCTTAGAAAGCTTATTTCAAAATGTCACTTATAGTAGAAGAATTATTTTTTCATCACAATGCAGGGCCCGCGGGAATTTGGTGGAGGTCTTTATGCGGTCCGCGTGCCAAAATGTTTGGAGACTCCTGGTCTAAGCAAGTAGAGTAGCGCCTGAACTTATATATTTTAATTTATTCATTATTAGTTATTTTTGTTATTAAATCTTGCGGACGGTATCGGAACTCATGCTTCTACAGTGTGTTTTTTTGGTGCCTTAATCCGCTTGACCCCAACAACAACTTTATATGTGTGATCTGATGAAGCATGAGCTATTTTAAGGTTTATTTTTGAAGGCTTACAACAATATATTTTATTGTTTTCATACAAATCATTTGTTGACATGTTTTCTTAACTTTATTTATTTTTTTAGTATTGGAACTAACAGTGAAAAACTACAGGGCATGTTTAGGAAATATGTTCAATCTAGGTTTTTCACTTGGAATGATTTATCTTCCACTGGCTGCATATTTCACCAATACCTGGAGAGAACTTCAACTAGCTATCTCAGTACCGATGGTTTTGTTCGTCATCAATTGCTGGTACCAAGTACTCTCTATTTATTTATTTATTCATTTATATATATATATATATATATATATATATATATATATATATATATATATATATATTATATATATAGAGAGAGAGAGAGGAACAGATATTACCTGTCGTATTGACTTACATTACTTTGACATGTTTTCCTTTAATTAATTACTTTCACGTAAAATAGTTAGTGTATCCGCATTGTTCGCTTCGGTCCACCCCTCGTCCGTTCAGCAGGCCGAACAGCAAGTTTTAACCATATAGGTGTTTTTCCGTTACTAATTTTAAGCCCAACTTTTTGATACTGCCATTTTATTGGTAGCAATGTAATCATCTCAGTTTCATTAAACGGAATACATTTTACGCTATTCGGCGTTGTATAATCGTTTAAATTTTACGGACCCGGGACTGCTGTACAAACTCCGAAAATTCCTACCACCTACATACTTCCTCATTATCCGTTCCTACCTTACTGATAGATACTTTAAAGTAAATCACAATAACGCCTATTCATCCCTTTTTTCCCAGTCTGCTGGTGTTCCTCAAGGTAGTATCCTAGGTCCTATCCTCTATACAGTTTATGCAGCTGACATCCCTACCTGTCCCAACACTGTCATCACCACATATGCCGATGACACATGTATCCTATCAGTAAACAATGACCCAGCAATTGCATCCCAAATGCTTCAATCACACATCATAAATCTAGAAGAATGGTGTCAAAACTGGAGAATTAAAATAAACTCTAATAAATCCCACCAAATTACCTTTACCCTTCGTCGTAAACCAACGACTTCCTGTCCTACAGTTTCCTTTAACAGTACTCCACTTATCCCTGTTGAGCAAATCCGATACCTAGGACTCCACCTGGACAAACGACTAACTTGGAATCCTCATACTAGACTGAAACGACAAGAAACCGCTCGACGTTTCCGATTACTTCAGCACTTACTAGACAAACGCTCTAAACTTCCCATGAATTACAAAAGACTTATATACTTGACTATAATAAGACCTATTTGGACTTACGGAGTTGAGCTATGGGACTCCACTAAACCATCGAATTCCTCTCGCATCCAATCCTTACAATCCAAAATCCTTCGTAAAATCCTCAATGCTCCTTACTTTGTCACTAATAAAATTATCCATAAAGATCTTAATGTTCCTTATGTTTCAGATCTGGCCCAATCCAGATACCTATCCTTCCATAATAAACTTCAGAATCATCCCAACCCTCTCGTTTCTAACCTTGCTTCCTCTTCAATTCCTGATAACCCTCCGAGGCGTCTGAAAAGAAGATGGCCCCGTGATCTCCTAATATAGTCATATCATTAGAGTGCTACCATTGGGTAGTTACTCAGCAAGTGTATTCATGTCATTATATCAATTATGTCCAAATTTACTTGATGTATTTATGTAATACAGTTGTAAATGTCATAAAGAAATAAAAAAAAAAAAAAAATTTACGGATGACTCATCTTTTTTCGGTCTTAATATTCCACACAATACTTTATTTTCAAAAACCTAGCTTATCCCTAACTGTAATCAGCCACATTTCTCATCCATAAAGAACCATAAGTAGGATAATGGTGCTGTATATTCGAATTTTTGAGTTTCGGGACAGGAGGCGCGAGTTAAATAGTTATTGCAATATATATATATATATATATATATATATATATATATATATATATATATATATATATATATTATATATATATATATATATATATATATATATATATATTCACACCATTAAACATTCCAAAATCACACCTTTGTTGCTAAATATAAAATAACATGATTATTAGGGTCATAGAGTATGGTGTCTAATAATGGTGTTTTATAATATGTAAACATTATAATATAAATATATATATATACATCTTTTTTTTTATTATTATTTTTTTTTCGTTTGGCGCTACAGACCATTAAGATCTTTGACCGCGAGTGTGTTGGGACCACATACCGATTCCCGATTTAAAGTACGGGGTAGGGTCATAAATCCTACTCCCGGTCGGTGTGAGTTGCCTCCAGTAGCCTGACGGGTCTCACATACCCGGGGGAGGGGGAGGAATCTCGGGCAGGGTGGCTTTCCTTGGTGGACGGTCACCCATCCAAGTGCTATCCACGCTCGGCGATGCTTAACTTAGATTACTTAATGCAAGCGCCTTAGTCCGCAAGGCCACCCCAGCCCCCAAACATAATATATTAATATTTATTTATTGTAATATTTAATTTACTGTAATTTTCTGCTAACAGGTTTTTACCGGAATCACCAAGGTGGTTAGTAACAAATGGGAATTTCGAAAAAGCAGTTGAAATCATCGGGAAAGAGCATGAGTTAGATTTCAAAGTGACTACTCATTGCCCTCCAGTAAGCTTAGAGGTTCTAATATTGGTCATATATTCTTGTAAAAAATACTAACTAACCATTTTGAATTTTTCTTGTACAATATTTAGGAGAAATCTCAATCCTTTTTAGATAAAATAGTTATTTTCTGGAATCATTACTTTGAACTTTTCTCAACACTTGATCTTACGAAAAGATTACTTATTTGCTCATACGCATGGTTCATAGGAAATTTATATTACTTTGCAATAGGTAAGCATTCATTGATATATAATTATTTATTATTTACTCATCAATAACTTTTAGCTCATTTTGTCGTATTTTTTTAACTGAGGTTAGAGAATTAGCATGAAGTATTTGTGCAACAAAAGAAATCTCATTATAAATAGATTTCTTGCCTTTCTATTGTTCACTTTCTGTTTCCAGTTCTCTCTGAATTTAATGTCTTCATTGGCTTATATACGAATTGGGCAAATTACAAACAAATATTACACACAAATAAAAAATAAAACACACAATACGCTGCAGTATAGAAAGTGTATGCTTTAAAAAAATAAGCCGACGTAAATGCTTTTTCATTAATTACAAAATGTCTTATCCATTGACAGTGATACAATCTGTTGATTATTAATTAATGATAACATATAATTAATTATTTTTACTAACAATGTTTTTTTTAATAGCCCTAAACGGATCAAACATTGACGTCAACGAGTACCTGTATATGGGACTGAATGGACTAATCGAAATGCCAGGGTATCTGCTACCTATACTTCTTTTAAAGTACTTCGGTAGAAAGATTACTGGAATATCTCTGTGGTTAATTGCTGGTGTTACACTGTTAGCAACCATAGTCCTACCAAAGGGTAAATAACTATATGAAGAATTATATGAAGTGTCTATCTAAGTATAACAAACTTGTATAACTTACCCAACTGGTGCCGTGTTCAGAAGGTTATTAAAAATGGAAAATTAATATTTTCAAGTATTTTTAATTGGCTATAAGAGATGTTAGAATTTTTACTGTTATGTTACAATTGAATATTTTTTCTACTTTTCTTTGACTGTCACCAAGTGAATTCCATTCTTTTAACGATATCGTTGTCGTACATCCTTAAGATTTCAGTCCAAAAAGATCTACGTTCAACATCACCTTCCAATCCTACCAGGTTGGTGTGTACAGCCTCTTCAATAGACAAGTATACGTCATAGCTGCTTATCCAGTTCATACGACCGGCTAACTGTTGCAAGACCAAGACTAAGAATGGAAAAAAACGATTTTTTTAATTTTTACTTTTTTGACAAGTTTAATTACTATGTGTAAAGAATTGGTATAACCAATATACTTTTGCATTTAATTCTTCTATTTTTTTATTCGGGCTTAGTTAGGTTTGTCCAATCTAAAAAATTACTGTAATATCTCTACAGTAATAAACTAATATATAACTGCAAGACTGGTGCGAGACTCTTGTGCAAGACCAAGGCCAAGAGAAAGACATTCGTGCAACACTACTTTGCAGGCCTAAATGAACACCCTAAACCGTTAGAAGGCTTAATATAGAGGAAGAGGAGCTAGCTGTAAAAGAGTATTTTCAACGGTGAAGCAATTCCTATCCACTTGTCTATTCGTAATGCACTATGACTTTCTGCTGAAATAGGATGTACTATGAAAAAAAAAGGAAAATATTTTTTTCTCCCGCCTTGTTTTTTTTCCGGGCCAGGATGGAAAGGCGGGAGATCATTGTCCGAGTCAAAAGTCGCCGCTTAACGGAATTTGAACTCGGAAACAAGGGTTTATCAGATTGCCGTACAATGGGTTTGCTCGCTGGGGAATCCCGTCACCCCTCGAAGTAAATAATGAAATAAAATGAAGCATCCAAAATGCGCTAAAGGAACAATAGTACTCAGATAATTGAAAGAAAGTATTGAGTAGAGGAAAGTGGCAGCATCCCATAGGACCTTAAAAGAAACAATTTATCGAATGTTTTAGGATATTCACCGGTGAAGATGGGTCTCAAACCTTCACAGCATTGCTTCATAACAAATATACCGACCTATCCTCTGTGATATCATGGCCGAATGAATATTTTAACGCCTGAATATTTGTACGCGCATTGCGGTACATTAAGTGTGTTTTTACTGACCATAAAGAACGTTTTCCTTGTGTATTTTTGACGTTAGTTTGAAACTGTTAGCAATACCTCAAATGAAAAAACAAAATAAGTTAGTTTTTCATTAGATAGACAGACAAATATGTTTTTTTTTTTTTTTTTACTTACTTAGTTATTTCCAGTGTTCCAACTTCTTCAGGTTTAGAGATGTGTGAAGCTCGGTTCTAGATCCACAAATCTCTATCCTCCTAATCCCGCTTCTGCAGACCTCAGCCGACCATCTCCTCTCGGAATCCTTCCATCCACGTGGTTCTGGATCGTCCTTTCCTACATTTTCCGGGCGCTTGCCAGTCCAAAACTCTGTTCGGTCAATGCTCTTCCGGCATTCTCCTGCATTGCCCAAATCACCTCAACCGCCGTTTCCCGATCCTCTCAGAGACGGTCTCCTCTACTCCTATTCTCTGTCTCACCACTTCATTTCGTACTCTGCACAGCCTCGTTAAGTGTAGACACATTCTCCAAAAATCCATTTCTACTAAATCCATTTCCGTATGTTGGCATATAAGCTGTCTTTCGTTGACCATGCCTCACATTCGTAGGTTAATATAGAATCGACAATAGCTATTAAGATACGCCCCTTGTTCAAGTTTGAAATAGTGTTGTTCTAGAGAACAGGATGGAGCATTCCAGTTGCTTTTCTTGCCATCTCTACCTTGTTTTGGACGTCCCCACATCTTCTAGGTAGGGAGGTATTTAAATGCTTTTACTCTTATGCATACCTGTTAACCTATGCGTAGATCGTCTTCCTCATCTCCCAGTTCCTCAGTCTTTTTGAAAGTTATCCTGAGACCTGCATTTTCATAAAAAAATCTTTGAATTTACAACCACTAACTCCAGGATTTCTTCCGGGCCATCTCTGCCTGATCGTCTGCGAAGAACAGGGTAAAGAGCTCGTCGTCATCAAAGTAAACTTCGTAGTCCCGACTTCGTCTCATCCATTGCTTCACTACCTCATTCAAGTATATATTTAAAATTCTTGGAGACAGACGACACCCTAGCTTCAGTCCTTTGGTTCCAGGAAAAGGTTCCAAGAGGCGGTTCCCAATCTTCAAGTTGTACAGATCGCTTCCATACAAGTGTTTTTATTTACATGCTAAATCAAATATATTATATAAAAAGCATACAATACTTGTATACACTGACAGACAAAAAACGTGCACTCTGAGTTATACGATTCTTCCAAACTTTCTTCTTTTTTACTCGCCTATAATCCGTTTTAAATATTTTTCTTACTGACGAAAAAGATAAATCTATATTTTCTTCCAGCTTCAACGTAGCTCATTCATAGTGACATAGTTAAAACAACGTAGCGATGAGGAAGAAAATATTTACCGTAAATTAGGCACGTGACTAATGTATGACATAACTATCATAAATCTTTAGTGAACTTTGTAAATGGTCATTACAATTTGTTCGTGTTGATTTTTATTGTTCTCAGGTTGCAGAGTTAGCATCAGCCTCTCACAGCTTATATCAGAAAACATTTTTCTGGTGATTTCCATTTTAGTTGTTTGTCGTATGTTATGGGGAAGGAGGTGTTTTATGTATGTATATATACAGGCTGTCTCGTGAGTAGAGGGAAATTTTTATAGGAGTGATAGCAAATACATAAAAACTTCCTAATAAATATAAAGCATTCCAAACATAAAAATTTCTTGTTTAATAAGCTTCAACTCTGCATAAAATTTAGTTGAGGTTTATCGGAGAAAAACTTGAGATTCACCCTTGATTTCAGCAAAAATGACTATAATTAACTCTTGAAAACTTGTATATCTTATTTTTCCATGATGTGGGATGTATTAAAATAAATATAATTGTCTGAATGCACTTTTTATTTATTGAAAAAATGAAATTAAAAATAACCATTTTTCAAATATTTGTGAGCTAAATGTAACATTTTGTAGTCAGCAACTGATATAGGTAGTCTGCTACAATACAATCAGCCACTGCTGGAGGGCTATAAGCATTAGGGCTACAAGTTCTCATTCATACAATATATACAAATAATAAAGAAATAAATATAAATATAATAAGTAAATAAATAATACTGGTGAAGAAGTTAAATAAAAATAAAATAAAATAAAAATTTCTAAACACAATCATACCTATATACAATATATACATTCGCCCAAGAATCTCCGAGCCAGGCTTTTTCCCCCATACGTGGAAGGCGAAGCAAGACTCCGGGAGATCCCAGCGCCACTTTTCCAGCCGCATCACTAGTATTAGAAGCCAATGGAGACTGAAAGAGGGCACTACAGCCACAGACGCTCAGGACATGAGTGGAGAAGCTGGCCATTGCCAGGACTCCAAAGGCATATTTACAAAAGATCTCGAGGCCACTGCCGTTTCAACCTTCGAGGGGGATGGTATGGATGTTCGGAGCTGGATAGGGATTGCGCTAGAGGATTGGGATGATGAATGAGGTTCTGGTGAAAGTTGGAGAATCTGGATGGGATGATGTCATGGACATATGGGATGTTAAGGTCATGGTGTAGGGTCTTGTTCGTGACATAATATGGAGCATTGACTATTGTTCGAAGGACTTTGGACTGGAAGGATTGGATGCGTTTGATATTCGATGATTTAGTTGTCCCCCACAGTTCAAGTCCGTAGGTCCAGATAGGTTTCAGTATGGTCTTGTAGATTAATAATTTGTTTTCTGTTGAGAGATTAGATGTTCTGTTTAGTAGTCTATATAGCTGACCAAATCGTCGGTTAAGCTCTTGTCTTTTAAGTCTGGTATGTGGGTTCCAAGTCAGTATTTTGTCCAAAAGGAAGCCAAGGTATCGGACTGTGTCTGAGTAGGGAAGAGGAATTGAATTAAAAAGGATTGGTGGACAGGATCTGCGTCGAAGAGTGAAAGTTACATGCTTGCATTTTGATTCATTAATTTTGATGCGCCAGTTGTTGCACCACTGCTCAATGAAGGAAAGGTGTCTTTGCAGGTTCTGAGACGCTATTAGAGGATCCGAGTGAGAGGATAGGATGGCAGTATCATCAGCAAATGTTGCTAGGAAGGTATCAGGACTTGAAGGGATGTCAGCGGTGAAAAGGATGTAGAGAACTGGGCCCAAGACACTGCCTTGTGGGACACCAGCCTCAATTGGATAATGTTTGGAGAGTTCAGTGCTGCAGCGGACTTGAAAGGAGCGATTTGTAAGGTAGGATTTGAGGACTAGGTAAAAGGGTTGAGGTAAATGGGTTTTGAGTTTGAAAAGCAAGCCATCGTGCCACACCCGGTCGAAAGCTTGAGCTACGTCCAGAAAGGCACCAGTGCAATATTGCTTGTTTTCAAGTGCAGAGGATATGTGGTCGACAACGCGAAGGCCTTGTTGGACAGTGGAGTGTCTTGAGCGGAATCCAAACTGATGGGGAGGGATATTGTGGGATTCGAGTATGGGTAGGATGCGTTTGAGAAGGATTTTCTCAAAGATTTTGGAAAGGATCGGAAGTAGGCTTATCGGTCTATAGGATGATGTATAATTAACAGGTTTACCTGGTTTAGGAAAGAGGATAATTATGGAGTGTTTCCACACCAGAGGAAAGTGGGTTGTGCGGAGGATACAGTTGAATAGGTATGTAAGGAATATAATTGCTTTTTTGGGAAGTTGTCTGAGGATCTGGGAAGTAAGGAGATCGTGTCCTGGAGATTTGCGAGGTTTTAGGTTCTTTAAAAGGAATTTGACCTCAGAGGGGTTGACGGCTGTAGGAGGTAAGGAGAGAGGAATCGGTGAAGAGAGGAACTCTTTAACTTCAGCAGTATGGGAGGGATGGAGTTCAGGATGAGGAGTGAATGTGTACGATAGATGTTTAGCAAACTCTTCTGCTCTATTCTCATCTGACGAAGCCCAGGAACCATCATCACGGCGGAGGGGGTGGGAAATGGATTGGAATTTAAGGATTTTTTTAGTTACATTCCAAATGGAGTTATCACTTGCAGATAGTGAGGAAAGATAGGAATTATAGGATTGGGATCTAAACGTGGCCAGTTTTTGTTTTACTTGCTTGGAATAATAGTTATATGATTTCCGATCATCAGGATGCCTGGTTCTTTGCCAGATAGCCCTAGAGCATCGTTTTCTATTAATAAGGTCCAGTAGGTCTTGGGGTAGAGGATTTGTTTTGCGGTATTTTTTAGAAGGATCAGGTGAAGATGCAGTCCAAACTGCTTGTTGGATCAACGTAGTCATGGAATGTACTGCTTCATCTAGGTCTGTAGGTGTTTTTAAGAAAACTCTGAGGTCAATATTATCATCCAGCATTTGACGGAAGAGGTTCCAATTAACTGGCCCCCTGATAAATGAAGGTGGAGGTGGTTTGGGAATTGGTGATGTGGAAACCGTTAGGATTAGGGGACTATGGTCTGAGGAGAGATCATCAAGTCTTGAGATGCAATAATTAAGGGACCCTAGACCTTTGAGTCTGCTACTAAGGAAAATAGTTGAAGGCATTAATAAAGAACTAATTAGTTTTTACACTCTCCTATAAAACAATCATTTTTATATATGACCATTTTCTGTAATAGTGTACGCATGTTCAGTAGGTACTGGGATTTTTTTTTTATATCACCAATCATCAAATACGCAATGTACAAATGTAAAACTCTTTCACATTTTAGTATTTGCAATTGAATAAAACTCGTGGATATCAAACCCACAAATGTTGAGGAATTACTGTATTTCCAAAAAAAAAATCTTCCGGAGATTTTATGCTCATACGAAAAATTATAGACTTTGAAATATAGATATTGCTTAGCCAATGGAATCAGTGAGGAAGCTTTGCCTATCTTACTTGGCAGACGTTTTTTAAATAGGTGTGTGTCAAAAAAATTATCGGCGCATGCGTACTAAATTTCAATCAATTATTGTTAATATAGAAGGAAGCTAGTCGACTGTTTTAGATATAATGGGTAATAAATATTCAGGACGCAATCATTATAAAATTTCTTTTATTTTTTATTTTTGCCGACGTTTCAACCCAAACATGTGGGTCTGAAGGTTTGAAACCTTCAGTGCTCGAACCACTCCCTGATGATGGCTCACATGTTCATTTTGAAACTTCGTGAAAAATAATAATAAAAAAAAATTACTATGACTGCGTCCTGAATATTTATCACCCATATTGTTAACATAAGTGTATGTATTTTTTATAGGGACAGAAGGCTTGGTGGATGCCAACTACAGCGTGTGGCTTGCTTGCACTCATAGGTGCACTTTTATTGCTGCTTTTACCCGAAACCAGAGATACTCCAATGCCTGACACGATCAAAGAGATGAATCTGCGCTAATAAATCCACCTACAACTGAAATTAATTTTTCCTGTTTCATGCTTCCTTTTTAATATTTTACTTTTACTCCAAATGTCTGAAAGATGTATGAAAATTACTTATTTTTCTTTAGATTAAAAAAAAAATTAAGAAATGCTTATATACGTTTATGTGATAATAGAATGAAATGCTATTAAATCCATCAAATTCCCGACTGTAGACAAGCATCGTAAGTTTTTATAATGTTTTATACTGTTATAATATTCTCAATATATGTTACGTAAAATTAAATACATTGTTTTTATTTTATTTTATAAACCAAAACATTATTCCAACAACTTTTTATGTATTTATTAGTTTAACATATCTACCCTTAGAGGTCATTGGTGTTGTGTTGCTCATCTTCTTTATATCTTTTGGTATATACAAGTTCTTTTCAAAAATGGACATTTTTTTGCTTTCATTTACCTATATATCAAATATATAAAGTAAAGGAAAGTATTGCGATCGTGAAAATTTTCGAAAATCAATTTTCAACAGAACTCAGAATACGTTTTGAGATCTTTGAGTCCAAATAACCAAGTCCCACAAAATGGTCTGTGTCTGTGTGTGTTAACAGTCTAGTTCAAAAACGAAAAGTCGTACGAAAGTGAAATAGCGTATTTATGGATTTTAAATACTAGGGATGTTACAGCAAATTTTTCGTCAAAATTGACTAACCGAAAGTGGCACTTTATATTATGGACTAAATACATTTTTTACGATTTTCTCGAAAACGGCTCCAACGATTTGATTAAATTCATTATATCAGTGTAAAATTAAGCATTTTTAAATAAAATATAGTTTCTATTCTGATTTATTTTCTTTAGCAGGGCTTAAATGGCTAATTTTCAATGTTAGCTTTTTCTAAAGTACCTTTATTTTTTTTATTTGATACAATTAACCATTTCTCATTAATCTATAATTAATATAAAAGATAGTTAATTATAAAATATGAAAGCATTTGATAATTAACTAAAGGAGAAATAAGAGATCGTAACGGAGAATAGTTGTAATTGACGAACCAAAGGAATACGAGCGCACCCGAGCTCGCCCGAAAGATTAGAACACGCGTACATGAGCTTAATATAATACGGACTCCGACAGTATTTTATAAATATACATATACGGTTTTCATAAATGCTATTGTTGGAATTATTTAATATTTAATTGTATAGATCTCAGCGATATCAATATTAAAATTTGTATATTTAAAGGCACTTACAAATAAAAAATAAGTTTTTTTTAATGCGTCCATTTATCAAACATTACTGTAACATAGTTAACTACGTTTGACGTTCTTGGTTTCTGCATTAAATCTGTACCAAGTTCAAACTCATTTACCGATAAAAAAGCACAGTACACTAAAATGAGACCAACCCTTTTATATATCAAATATAGTTTACCCATATATCAACTATATATCAAATATAGTTTAGTTATAACTGGGTAAAGCTAATCTTCGCAGCATCTTCGTTGATTTTATCTATCCTTCTGGATTTTGACCCCTCACGAGTTCTCTTCTCACGAGCCGTATCATCATAAATTTATATTTTGTGCTTATTTACAATAATAATAACTATTCAAGAAATACATTTGAATATTTTAAAATTGGTACTGCTTAAAATATTAAATATTAAATTGAAATTTCAAATTGGATTATTAAAAGTTTTTATTACCTTAACCTACATAATTTATTATTCATATTGTATTTCGTAGAATGACAAGAAAATGTTTTAAAACTACATCTACACTATATCTCTGGTTAAACCATTTTTTAAATCAAGTTAAACCATAAAAGCTTTTATAGTGAATATAAAACTTGCCATTAAACAACCATGGTGTGTTTAAAGCCATGGTGTGTTTTTTTTTTTTCATGTCGTACCCCTCCCCATCCAAAAACATCTTCCTCCTTGAAAATTAAATTATATATATGTATACCAAACTTTTCCTTGAATGGTACCTATGAATAATATATTCAATTAAAAAAACTTCATTTTAAAGTAAAATGACGAGATCTAATTTTTAATCATTAAAGGTTTAATGATTTCAATGTAGATGTCAAAATATGTGCCACTCCTTATATGTGGATGTGAAATATGTGCCACTCTTCGCTTTTATTTATGTTCGTAAAATATTTTATTTATCTTCGTGGTTCAAAACCCGCTAGATACTAATTGTAAAATGTAATGCTTATTTCAATTCTAAAACGTTCATAAGTACAGAATATCAGTGATATTGGTGGTTTGGAAGAGAATTCTCAAATATAGTAACAGTTATACGTTGAAAATATTGAAGGTAAGCTATTTTTATTATACTATACTAAAAATGGATATTGAATAGTCAATACAAACCTTAATCTATGCTTTAACGTTATATTTATATAAAGCATATAATATTATATTATGAGGTGTAATATTTCATATTATGTTATGTTATGTATGTGACTGAATTTTTTTGTCGGAATTTTATGAGTTTGTCTGATGAAAAAGGTCAAATCGAAGAAGTTCAATTTATGTCATTCAAAATACAGCCAGAGAAATAAATTGGCATATTTCCTAAAGATGTAGAAATTTTTATTGGTAAACATATTAATAGAATTTGAGGTTCGAGTTAATTAAAATAAAAAGAAGAAAAAACAGCGTAGATAGAAGATTATGAATTATTTTATAGTTTTATTTTCTTCTTTTGTTAGCATAACTGGCATAAACCCTGACTTTTTCAATATTAGCCTTCCACTTCTTTTAGTTTCGATTATCTCCTGCCTCGCCATTCGGCTGCTCATTTATTATATATCCAAAAGACTGGAAGCAGCTCAATACTTTGTTACTATGATTTTCCATTTTTTTTTTTTCGTTGATTATAATCTTCATTTTCATGGTTTCCAACGGAATCTTTTATAGAGTTCAGAGACCTACCGACAATACCGTATTAGCAAAAAGCTGTGTGGTTTTATTAAATATTATCCCAATCCAACGGATCTCTCTGCTTGAGTCCAACCCCAAAATCAAAATGGTCCAAGATATTTAAACATTTCACATTGCCCTATATATTTGATATTGAGAATTTGTTAATATTAATTTTGAAAAAAATTTCCATTTCCGTCATTCCATATATGCTGTCATATGAAATGAACACATATAGTAGTAATTTCATATTAATGTATCATAAGCATTGTTAAATGTCACAAATTCCATTCAGATTGTTTGATTAAATTTTATTTTACACTAAAGTTTTATTTTAGATAGCAGTAATAAGGTGATATCAATTAAACTTCTTTAATTAAAAGCCGAAATTAAGTTTTAATTGATAATTAACTAAAAATATTGTTTTTTATTATTAATAGTACTATCTTGGTCTTGAAACTTTTTATTAGGGATAAATTAGTAAGCGGGACCGTGCTCAAGGATGATAGCGCTATAAGGATAACGCTATAAACAGTCTTTGTAATATTAAAATATTCCTGTACTGCACGGGCGAATTTCTCCCACAGATATTTCCTGGCACGTTCATAAAGTTTTATTTTAGATAGCAGTAATAAGGTGATATCAATTAAACTTCTTTAATTAAAAGCCGAAATTAAGTTTTAATTGATAATTAACTAAAAATATTGTTTTTTATTATTAATAGTACTATCTTGGTCTTGAAACTTTTTATTAGGGATAAATTAGTAAGCGGGACCGTGCTCAAGGATGATAGCGCTATAAGGATAACGCTATAAACAGTCTTTGTAATATTAAAATATTCCTGTACTGCACGGGCGAATTTCTCCCACAGATATTTCCTGGCACGTTCATTAACTGTTATCATCCAATGTTCAGTGCTACATTAATTAAAACAGCACCGACCTCAAATCTGCTAACATAAATGCTTTATAATTAAATGATATATTTTTTTAAACAAGGAACATTCTGCCTCCTCGATATTTTTTAAAGGAGGGCTCACATATCCATCAATATTTCGTAGTCGTTTACATAAAATAACTCATAAAAATTAGGGGATGGGGTGGCCGAGCGGGCTAACACGTTTGCAACACACGCATTACCAGGCAAGCTGATAACCTGAAGATTACGAGTTCAGGTACCAATGTTGGGGGCAGTTAACATTGACATTATTCTTCCGCTCTCTTGGTCCGGGAAAAAACGTATAACCGAAAAGGCGATGTAGAAGAGTAAAAAAATCTTATGGTAATAATTATATTGCATATGTTTATATTACAGATTAATTATATTACAGATAATAAACTTATTACTGAACTATTCGTTTATGTATGACGTTCCATCCCCTCTCCCACCTTCCATGCATTGAACACTCTTTCCATCCTTCATTGCCATCAAGGAAGGATAACCCTTCCTGGGAATTAGAAAAAATATATTCAAAGCGCATGATATTAATTAATTTTAGCTTATTAATAACTCAACTGAATTAGAGATATGTCCAATGAAATGCCATTTAAAAATAACGTAATATAAAATAGATTAAGAAATAGTTTTAATTTTCAAGCGGCCTAATTTCTAACCTTAAACTCAATAACACAAATTAAGAAAATGGTCTCTTAGTACAATGTGAATGTATGGGACTACACATCAATACAGAAAACACTAAGATCATGACGAATTCCTAAAAAGGAAAAGTGAAAGTCAGAAAAAAGAAATCAGTTTTGTTGAACAGTATGTTTACCTAGGAAAGACCATATCGATCAAAGAGAGAGAAACACTTTATTTTCATAAAATATAAAGGATTGTTGCCCAATTATATTGGGTTGCTATATACACAGCATACTTTTCTATCCTTAGGACAATATATGAACTTATATATAAATATACAGAAGCATTAGTTAATATTAGTAAAATAGATATATATATATATATACACTTTTATTATTTTATTTTATGCATTTTATTGTTGTACTGAATGTACTACTTCATGACACAGGGACACATCGTACCTCCCC